ATTCAATCGTGGAATTTGAATTAAACCGAAGAATGAACGATAATTCATGCGTGATCGATTCTAGAATCGAATATTCGAGTTCATAATAAAAGCAAAGTGCAGTGGAGTAAATTGAAATAATTTCACTGACGCTCATTATTTCAATATTTTTCTAAACAATCTACAAAATCTCAAAAAAAAAGATTGAGTACATATCTTTCTCACTTTTGTGTGTTACATACGAGTTGAACAAAATATGGTACATAAAAAAACAACTTTATCAACATTTGTTCTTTGCAATGAATATTTTTCTTTCTCTATCTATTTTCATTCGTAAATATACATTCGAAGTGTTTCATTGATGATTTACTTATGTGGTTGATTATAGATTAATAGATTTCTACGAGTTAGTTTCTTAAACATGTCTCAAACCAACCAAAAGCAGTCATTAAACCAAAATGATCCAATGAAAATACGCTTTTCATGTATAGATGTTGATTATTAAATGATAAATTGGTGAATATCTTCGTAGGAGTAACTCTTTCGTTTGGAAGCTCAGCAAAAGCTTTATTACCAATAATTCAAATTTGAATTGAAATAAAATATGAATTCGGAAACATTATTCGATTAAAGATTGTTGACATCTTTTCATATTGGCGACAAATCAATTCAATTATGCTAAGGATTTTCATTTGTATAGCATTTTAGGACCAGTGTACATGTTATTTGAACGAAAAAGAAAGTTTGTGTATGACATATTTATCTTATGTTTTGGATGTGAGTGCAGCTATTAGTATCAATAACCTCACTCTTAACAGAACCGATGTAAAAATTAAAATTTTTTTCTTTCAACCAAATATATTTCACTCTATATCATTAACTATAAAAAAATCTTTTCGTAAACAATATTTTACAGATGTTTTTAAAGGAATATCCATAATCGCTTCTTAAACATCTTTCATATTTCATTGTACATCGTCATTAAAGTTATTTTTTAGAAACAAAAGCAATTATTCATCACAACTACATAATTGGTTCAGTATATTTTTAACAAAGAGTTTCTTTTCTGATTCCAAATAATAAATTATATTGGTTTGATATCAAACTTGCGGTATCTACATGTGTACGCTCACGCGTGGAGACGGAAATTGTTTGAATTCGAAAGAATTTTAGAAAAATTATTCTCTACATGAAAATTCTTTAACGTGAAAAATTGACTAATAAGTTTTTCTTTCGTGACAAATATGATAGATGTATCAATGATAACCACATCTCGGATAGAGATGCGAATCATATCACTCCAGCATTGTATATGAATAGAACATTGACTGAGCTCCATCTATGTGAAAATCAAATTACTGATGAAGAATATCTTTGTGTTGCTCATACCGTTGGAAAACGGAGTGCTCAATATCTGACTTGCCATTAACTCAAAATATAGTGTTAAGAAATCTTGATCTTGACTTCAACGAACACTTTAAATATGTTCAAGCTGAACAAAGTGCTGAATCAAATTTCGATATTTGAGGACACATTCGAACAGCTTCAGATGAAAATTTCAACAAGTTGCCTACTAGGAACAGTATTTAAAATAAGATACTACTTTGTGTGTATTGTAGATCCAAAGTTTTCCTGAAAAAATGACTGTGAATCAGGTTTCATAGTTATAAAACTTTATATTGTATCTATTGACATTAACTGCAAATTGGATGGTATCGAGAGTTGATCAGAGTGTTTTTATCAGTATTCGAGTGAACAATACTTAAAATTGAATTTCGGACAAAAGATTATCTAGTGTGTTCAAAATGTGAAAGCTGGATTGTTGCCACGCATCGGTAGTTGCTGAGTGTCTATTCAAGACTTAGTCTTGAATGAGTCCACTCTATTAACTTTGGTTCTGTAGCTTTTACTGAGCGATCATCCACAATGCTCAACTATAGTTTTCTTTGTATTTGCGACTGTTCATCCGAATTCATGCAGTTCTATTCATTTATAGATCTAATAACACTATCTTTTCTACATGTAAGTTGTCTCTGTCGCATGTACATCTCTGCAGTACTTTTATCTAGCGAGAATGACATTTAAAAAATGGGTGTTCTCGAAAATCATTGTTTTTAATATGGATTTAGATATTTTTATGTAACAAATTTTTATTATTGAGAACTATTCTTATACATAATAAGCCATACACGAGTCATTAAAAAGTGTTGAGATTCATCTTTCAATAGTTGAATATAAGATCTATCTGAATTATTTTTGCTTGAAAGAGCAAAATTTCGATACAAGGTACCGATCAACATAATTAAAACTTTTACTTTCATTTTCTTATGATGGAATTTCCCAAACTCTGGGTTAAACTTATCTTTGAATAGAGTTTTTCAATCTATATTATTTTTTTTGTCATCTATGTGGAAATTCGTTTTTGGTTACTTGATCGATAAGAAAATTCTCTTTCATGCTATTCACTCTACTAGAATAGTTGTTTCGTAAAAGTTTCGACATAGAAAAAATCTAAGTCCGTAAGGGTTCTAAAATATTTTTTTTAATGGAAATTTTTCTAAATTTACCTTCTAGATATAGTACTTTTAGCTCTATCTAACGATTTATTCTAGTCATATCATGAAGGCACTAAAGTGATTATGATTGCTGAATAAACCTTTTCAGGTATCGAAACGATTCTTTTTATGATAAATAGAAAGAAAACTCTCGCATAGCATAAATCAACTATATACTCCAAACGTTCTTCTTTCAAAAAAACAAAGAAAATGTCGAAATTAATCCGATGTTATATTGTTGACAAATAAATTTTGACATTCTTCTAGAGACTTTTGCATTTCTTATTAGTCAAAAGAAAAACAAAACAAATACTTATTAACAGAAATGAGATAAAATTTATTCTGTATTCATTAATTTGTGATTCGATTATTATTTTCTTTGTGATTATCATTTTTGAGAAAACGACTATGCAGATTATTTCGCAATATATAATTATTATTAAATTCTTCTCTTGAATATTTTTGTTTTTTTTTTTTGATGTTGCTGATATTCTAGTATTTACTCTCTTTTCAATCGTTCGATTTGTGACAGCAAATAATTCTCTTAACTGAACGTTAATAAACTTTGATATCGAGAAAGGAGAAAAGTCGGTCTCGCAGAATACTGCACCCACACTCTGAAAACATGGAAATTGCAATCACTTGTAGTTGCCATGAGTATCATTGAACAGAATCTTGAAGATAAATAATATATGCAAATCATAATAACAATTCAAACGTGTGTGAGTGTTGTTATGAATCTTCTCTGCATCCAACAAAACCGTACATTCAATATTCATAACCACACTCCAACCTTTCGTGACGGATCGTCTATTAATTTTAAGCGATGTTAGGTAAATTGATTTTTGCTTCTTTATTGGTGACATCAATTCAAACTTATGACATTGCTGTTAAATGATAAATTATGATGATTCAATCATAGTTTCGAATTAATCAAAAATATAAGTACTTATTCTGTACGTATATCCGTTTTTTAAAATTGTTTTCCTTTAATTTTAAAGTTAATTCTCGAAGAATTTCAATAAGATATTTCGAATAATCATTTGATCGGTACATTATTGACAAAAAGTAAGAATTATATACAATTGGGTTCGATTTAACAAACTGTCACAAAACTGAGCAAGTTGTTACTAGTGTTCGATTCAACTTGGCTTTGTAATTCAAACGTATATATATGACAGACAATATTAAATTTAGATAAAATTTAGCTTGGAAAAATTTTGTTTGTCATCATGCGTAACACTTTGAAATATTCCTTACTTAAAAATGAATTCTAATTTTCATTTCTATTACAACAACAAAGAACAAAGTTATTGCTTTTCAGTATACAGTATATTCATTCTCACTGATTCGTCTTCTAACCTATGCATTAATGACTTCTGCATCGATATCTGAAAATGATAATCAAAACTTTTTTTTTATGAAATGGAAAATCTACATATTAGGTTTTTTAGGGTACAGATAGATTAAGGTGTGGACCGTCTTCCGGAATCACACCAGAGAGTGAGACAAATGAGAAAACCTTCATTCAGATTCGATTTGACTAATACTAAGAATAAAAATAATTCTATTATTTTTGTACATCTTATTTGCTATATATGTTTTGCTGTTCCTTTTTGCATAAGCTATTGATTCTTATTTTTTTCTTATCGCCTTTATTTTCTAGGGTATAGCTATACAGATTATATCATCATTTAGCTTTATCAAATAAGTGTGATGGAATGCAGATTTTATAGAATATTATTACTCGTAGAGTACTGATACTAATGAACTCTAGAATAAGGCTATGACTGTTCCTAGAACAATGGGAAGTTCAAAAACTGAGTGCATCTTGATAAATTTGACGAACAAGAACTAATTGCTACGAAAATTAGTAAAAAAAAAACTACAATAAAAGCATAGAAGCTTGTTTTAGTAAAAATTCTTCATTCAAAGGCAATAAATAAAACAGGTGAAAAAGAAGAAATGAGCAGACATCAATGAACAATATCAATAATAGCGGATAGGTACGTTGTTTTACTGATACATGTGTATCTTTAAAAAATTAAAATATATTTCTATTATGTAATTAATCATAAAGCAAGACTGTTTGTACTGTTGTTGTCAATAAACGTTTATCAAAAAATTACGTAACGCATCAATGAATAATTAGATTATAGTATAAGTTAGTGAGCCATCTCAATCTGATTCGATCCGATTTTGTTTCGCTCTCTCTGACTCACATCGATATCCAACTACACCCATCCATATCCTCATATGTAATATCTAACACATGCCTGATTTATTGCAACCTTTTCAAAGGTTATTCAATAAAGTATATGTCGTTTTATTTTAATATATTGTATTACTTAGATAGACACAAATTCCAATCGTTTTTATATTTCTAAATAGTAAACTACTGATAATTTCCCAATTTCACAGTCATTAAGGTAGGAAAAGTCCAGGCAAAATGATGTTTACTATAGATTAATGGTCGTGAAGATTTTCGTAATCGACGTAAAGATTATCTCCGTAAATAGATGACATAGCTTCCAGTAGATTGCCCGGCCATGAAGTCGGCGATCCCTTATTAGGATTTACAAACCATGGCCATTCATTGGGATGAAGACTGTAGTAATACAAATAATCAAGCGCTTGCTTGATTGACGAATTATTCTGCGTATAATTGGTAAATAGATTTTCCCCTGTCGACTGATAGGCTACCCAACATGTAGCTGTAATTGGTGCAAGAGAAAAATACGTATACCAAATTCCATTTGCCTCTCTTGAAGTCTCTTCGGGCATGTGACCATCAGGCGCAATTTTATGAAACAGATCACTTTTGACTAAACGGATATTTTCAGCTATTTCCTCGGCATTGTCCAACAAATGAGCAGATAAAATCGAGCCAAAGCGACCCCAATCGCCCCAATTATTTTTTCGCAATCTAATTTCATTTGACGCTTTTAAATAAACATTTTGCACCCATTGTAAATATTTTTCCTTGTCAATATGATCCCAGCCATCGTAGTTAAGAAGTAGCTCGCCAGCCATAACCATTGCTGTGCCTGAATAGGCCATGACAAGACTACCGTCGTAATCAGAATACTTCGTATTTAAATCAGCCCATGCTTTTAAAAATCGTATTGATTGGTTGGCATATTTGGATTGACCATCGCTTATCCAATAGGCCAATGCACAGGCATACGCATCAAATGCATCCGATTGAAGACCAGCCGAATTTTTTTGATGCAATACTGGATCGATGTAGTAACCAGGAACAGCAAAATCAGCTAGAGCATGAGTAGTATGATTGAACGCTGCATCCGCATAGGAGATAAGTTGGCGATATGCATCGTAATATGGTTGTTGTTTGCTAGACACTTGCAACTTTACAAAGTCAATCTGATGCTGGGGATGCATTCCACCAGGATGATTGTAACCTGAAATACACAAAAAGATCATGCTTGGTGATGATTTTCATATCCAGCATCTTCTCTCCGGTGTAATCCTACTGCTAAATCTTGAAGAAGTTAAGTAAAATAAGGTATTTATATCTCAGCTTATTCGTTGTGAATTGAAATCTTTTTGTGAAATAACTGACATAAATTTCATTTAAGAGAAATCTTAGCTATCCTATAAATGTGAATATGTTCATTGTTTACCTAGTTCTCTAGGAGAACTGTGCGAGGCATGAGAGTTTTCAGCTCCGCAGATTTAGATTATCCACTCCTGTGGCCTAATTTTCAAATCATATTCGTGTCGCTCATTAGTGCCATTGGTTTTATGGAGATCTGTTCCCATCTTTTTTCCGATTTCTCTGAAACTTTACTTTATAATGGCCTTTTATTTTTTTTCAAGAAATTATTATGAATAATATAGCAAAACGTTTTTAATGAACATCTGGCATAGCAAAATTTACAAGCTACTCATCGAAGAAACTGCGGGATGTGGATGAGAATGAACGTGAGTATGAGTTGGTGGTAGAAACTTTGACGCACACTTGCATTCACAACCACACCAACATCTTCAATTTTTGAATGATGATGATATCGAAATTATTTTTATCCTGCATCGCTGTAAGAACGAATTGAGAGCAGCACAAGGACGGTTTGAAATGGCTGAATTTAGTACTGCTGTTAATGAGCATATACTTTTCTAGTTACTCTTTAAGAAATATCTTAGTATTCGATGTATTATACTTGAAAATATCAGTGAAACATGAAGGAAGCTAAGTAGTAGTATTTGAATGGAAATGAGTAGCTTCCAATAACAATGAGATATAAATCGATTCATCAGTTGATCCGTCAAGTGTTACAATCATTGAAGACAGCGCATGAAGCATGGAGGTGACATAAGTCAAGTCAAAAACAAATCAATCATAATTTTTTCTCATTTTTGTCACGCACAGAGCCATGGGGAAAAAGGATTTAAGAACAGAACGAGAACGAATTTGCATTCTATAGATTGATAAAATGATCGATCAGTATGCATCGCATGCCGAATATGAAGAATAATTCCATCTACTGACAGTTCATCACGGTTCTTATGAAAAATATGCGTACATCGTTCGTTCTCTGCTTATCTTTTCACGCCCTAAATCGTCTAGTGCCGGACATTCGCCGTGCTCCATCAGCCAACTACTGCAGAGATCGACAGGTAATCCCCTGGACCGCACACTTCTGTCTTCTTGTATGAATATATTTAAAAAAGAAAAATTCTATAATGTTTTTTTTCAATCGTTTTACGAAAGTTAGGGATAATTATTTTGAAACATTTATCTTACCTTTTGTGATAGTATTACCTGCTCCAAGAACGAAATTCGATAAGCAATGCAACACAACGACTACAAAAATTATGATCAAGTTCATTTTGAAACTTGTCAA